TACAATGTTTTACAAAAAAAAATTGTGAAATGCCCAGAAAATCTTTCACATGATGTTTTTTTTTTTTTTGGTCTCACTAGCATTTTATGTTAATATAGTCTTAGACATCCAATGAAAATGAAAAGTTGGATATTTTTACTTCCTAAACAATTTTCCATTTATTTACATGGAGAATAAATTTTCTGTCAACTCTCTGAAAGAATAGAAAGTAATTACAATCTTGAAAATGACTATGGAAGTCATTTCATGATTGAGTTTTTTACTATGACTGTTTCCCTTTTATTTTTTCCTTTTTTTAATGCTTTATTTATTTATTTGAAAGTCGGAGTTACACACAGAGAGGAGAGGCAGAGAGAGAGAGGTGTCTTCTATCTACTGGTTCACTCCCCATTTGGCCGCAACAGCTAGAGCTGTGTGGATCCGAAGCCAGGAGCTAGGAGCTTCTTCCAGGTCTCCCACGCAGGTGCAGGGGCCCAAGGACCTGGGTCATTTTCTACTGCTTTCCCAGGACACAGCAAAGACCTGGACAGGAAGTGGAGCAGCTGGAACTCAAACTGGCACCCATATGAGAATCCTGGGACTGCAGGCGGTGGCTTTACCTGCTACACCACAGCACTGGCCCCAGACTCTTTCCTTTGTAGATAGTCTAGGTTTGGGGATATGGAAGCTTTTATAGTCAAAGTTGACTGAGATTTGTTAGCGTGTCTTCCTGTGTGCCATTATAGTGAAGTCCAGGGAAGGGAAGTTGCAGCCCAGATTTGCAGCCACTCGGTACAGAGCTCAGGTGACATGCTGAGACCACCTCTCTGTTCACTAGTCCAGGCTGCCTCTCACAAAACTCTATGCACATTTTTTTTTTCCTTTTTCTGATTCTCATATGTATTGCAGGTAATTTTGACATATAGTGAACTGAAACTTCTATATCCACTTCTTACCATGAAATTCTGGAAAAGGAGTTGATTATTTACAAAAGGAGTTGATTATTTAGTATTCCTCAAGGACCATCAGTTGACTTCCTTGTGCCCTGAAGAGTGAGAAAGGCATTCATTTCTCTCTCTGTCTCCCTCCCTCCATTCCTCTAGGTCTCCTTTCTCTCCACTTCATGTCCCTTGCTTTCAAAAGCAGAGAATCTCACCTGTGTTTTTGTCACAATTGATTCTTACATCCCATGTATTGTAGCGGATATACGAGAAAGGACATTGTATCATCTCCCTCATTCCATTTCTTAGTTTCCACTAAGCATGTGTATAGATCCAGTCATGCCTGTGGATGTGAAAATGGTTGAGTTATCAATCCCCAGAACAGTCAATCCATGGTATGCTCCATTTTACTCAGCCTCTGCCCATCACCAATAAAATGGTTCAGTACATACCAATAGATATCACCCTACAGCTTTGTGAGAAAATTTCTGGAAGTTACCATTGCAAGAAGAACAATCACTGGGGTGTATAGTATAACTCCGTTGGTTTTTAGTGCTAAATTGCTCATATGAATTTCTATACCAGTCTGCAGTCCCACCAGCCATGTGAGGGGCATTCTGCTTTTCTAAATTTTGATAACATCTCATATTATCTATTTTTATAATTTCAAGTGTCCATTTTGGAAAAGATTCTGAGTCTTTCTATTTCAAACTAGTAGCTTGTTCATTTCAGCAGATAATAAACATTGAGTGATATATGATTTTCAGTGTCTATATATTTTGTTCATCTCAGTTGCATACATTATCTGTAGCATATCCATCTAATTGACAATGAAATAAAAAGGAACAAAAATTTGAAGGGCCTCACTAAATTGAGAATAGGCCTCCCCTAAACCTGGCTCAGCTTACACTCCTCTTCACACCCTGATGCTCTTTCTGGTGAAATGCTGCTAACCCTTCCAAGCCTGGTTTAAACTTTGGACCCTCTTCTGTGTACCTGTGCACCTGACCAGCCTGTGTGTTGGTGGTATGGAATGTCTTTGTACACCCAGCACCTGACACCATCAATCTAACAGAGGACTCACTGATTCATTCTTTCGTGAAGGCTAAATTATAGCCATTCATATACTTAATACCCTCATTTTATCCAACTCTAACAAAAGTTTCTGGTTCTTAAAATGTTTCCGATTAAAACCATCTTTCCCATGTTGCAAGCTGTGAAATGTTGGCATCTTAGCAGCATAGCACCGATTTAAGGACTGGATCAGTGTCAAAACTTTTTCCTGGAAAAACCCTGGTTTTGCCTGAAAGTACTTGCGAGCTCAGCACACTGCTAAGGTGGAAGGCCACCTCCTGGACTGTCCCTGGGGAGGGGTCGCCTTGCCACCTGCATGTCTGGCTCTCACCAGTGTCTACACTGAGCAGTATAGGCTATGGTGCCAGACTTTAGTAACAGACACCAGCCCGACACAGACAGACAACTCCTGTCAATAAACCTAGGTGAGGAAAGATATGCTTAAGGAAGACAATTCAAGGACAATGGTTTTCAGTTCTGGCAAGTCACTTTCTGTTGTAAATACCAGAAGTCTACCTCAACAGGATGCCTGGTCCCTTGTTTCTGGTTGAAGCAGATCTGCTAAGGTCCACAGCTCTGAAGTTCTTTGTGAAGGTCTCACATCCAGTAGTCTCTATGAGAAGAACCAACTACAGCTCATGGACATGGGTCACACAGACCTTGCCTGGCCTCCCAGGAATTCTCTCCAGGGTGCTCCCATCTATGGCGTTGCCAGAGCTCTCCTCTCAAGTCTGGTCAGCTGGTTCTAGGTTGCACTCCTCACTGCCTTCCCAGAAGCCTTTGGACTTGCATATCTTTCCTCCTCTTCTCAAAAGCTGCTCTTCTCTCCCTTCTCCTCCATGGGTCCCTGTCCTCCACCAGTAGTTGCCCAGGAGTGTTTGCTTACTGTGGCAACACCTGAAACTTTTCTGATGGCCTTGGTCAGTTGAACGAGCTTCCTGGCTCATCTCACTGGGCTGCAGGATTGGAGGAATCACTCCATTTCCTCATCTGCAGCATACACAGAGTAGTAGCTTTACAGGGACCGTGAAGAGTGGGTTAATCTTCAGAAAATCCCTGGCACAAAATTTGGCACCCAGTAGGTGCTGAAAATCAGTATACCATAATAGGAAATGAAGTTACTCAAGTTTTATATGGAGGTGTCGGGCTGTGAAATATCCCCGATCGCTTTACTTTCACCAAAGCCGCACCCCACTGCCGTTGTTACATCAGAGAAGAAATCTATTTCTCCCTCCCTGTAAGCCTGCTTCCTGTGATGAGGGAAAAGGAATCACAGAAATTCTCTTGGAAACAAAGAGGCCTCGTCTGGGAGGTCTGTGGTAGTTTTTGGTGCTGTTCCCACCATCCCAGTGCTGTGAGAAGCAGCTATAACCTTGAAGGGATATTAGATGTTATTTGAACAGCTTATTTTTCCATATTTCTCTTCTGTGATTACAGAGAAGTGAATGGAATCCACTTTTATTTTCAGTGACTATTTGCTGCCACTAAGATAGTTACAATACTTTTGCCTCCTTATAAGTTCCTTTGGTTTGTGTTCAGGTACACAAATGTATTCAATACTTGAAATTTACATTAAAAGCTGATTTGTGTAAGCACAGCCGTGTCTTCCTGATAGCTCCTAAAATAAAATTGCAGTCTCATACCTCGTAATTTTAAAATCTTTTCCAACAACCTTTGTGCTATTAAGCCACTTAAATATTGTAAAGGATTCTATATAAAGTCAGTGTTAACGATTGCAATATACCTTTTGATTTTCATGCACAAACATCTGACACGTTCTTTTAAGAAGAAATAAAACCCAAGTTAGCTTGCAGTTCCAAGTTGCAGTGAGAAAACTCCACATTTAGCCTTCTGCTCCTATTATGTTAAGGCTGGGACTCATCTCCAAACAAACGTATGATTGAGATGATGTTTTGCAATAACATCCTGTGTTTTGGTGGCGCATCACTCTTCGGTGACATTCTGAGGGGGCATTGTATTAGCACATGATATTTTCCCCAGTTAATTGATATCCCAGGTTTGTCCAGAAGAAAATCTACAGCTCCCCCAAACATGCTTGACAAGTTATTATATTTACTTTAGTCAAAACCCGTGTGTGCAATATCCCTCTTGGAGGTGGTCTATTATTGGAGTCCCATATGCTTTTTGTTTGGGAAGAAAGCAGTCACTGTGTCATTCTGTTACATGGAGTATTCTTTTTCAGGGATGTTGTTCCCTTGGGGACCATATCAGGCCAGAGTTCTTTAGTCTAATAAGTCCTTTGTAACCCTCATTGTAGAAAAGTTCGGGGAGGGAAGCAAGAGTTAAACAGAAAATGTAATTCAAGCAACCATATTAAGCCACATGTGGGAAAACATGACTCTTAATATTGGATTAAAAAAAGGTATTTGTTGCACAAAGCACTGTGATGCCAAAATTTTCAGGGTGTTTCAGCTTAAATGAAGGCTATTGTGATGCCAGAAACTCATAACATTTTTAACATTTACTTTAGTTTCTGAATATGAATGATCTAAAAAATACTACGTAGGGTTGCATGTTCACAAATTTTTGTATTTAAAAGGAAGTGATTCCTACAGAAGTCCTACATGCTGAAATTTAAGCTTTGTTTCTTGGGTGACTTTTCCCATCGGTAAAGTGGCATTTTAACTCAGATGACATTGAATATACAATAGCGCTGTGTACGTGTAGTTTTTCCCTCAGTAATACAAACCAGGAATGTACATACTCATCAGAATTATGAAATTCTATTGTTGTAATTTATCATTAGTTGTAACCAGAATTTCTTAAATGAATGTGCAAAATGCATAAAAGCCTTTTATTCACATATGCCTGACAAAAAAGGCTTATTTCATTTTTACATGATAACTCTTACATATTAAAGTCATAAAACAAGTGCTTAATATGTTTCTTATTTTTGATAATAAAACCTCTTTTTGGAATGTGAACATTTTACAGTAAAATTTTTGGCACTGTAGTATTGTGAGACTCTTTTTGATTTTTTAACAGCAAATGGTTTCACAGCAACGCATTCTAATTCACGAAGATTCCATGAACCTGCTAAGTCTTTATACCTCTCCTTCTTTGCCTAACATTACCCTGGGACTCCCGGCAGTGTCGTCCCAGCTCAACGTAAGTCATCGTACAGCTTTGGCCTAAGCCAGCCCAGGCTCTGTTTGCAGAGAGGAAATCCCTTTCTTTCCCTTCTTTTATTCAACGGTCCTTCAAAGAGTTCCTGAAAGATGCATGTTATGAAAAATCTGTGCATGGATTTCTAATGTTTTGCACCCAAGTGAACCTTTAATTCCATTTTGCCCCAAACTTTTTGAAGTTCCCTCATCTTTAGATTTCAGAAAAACGTGGTGGAGTCAGCTTCTCTTTGCCTGTTCGCTGCATTGTGCAAAGATGGTCTGTTTAATTTCAAGTCCTAGATTCATACTCATTCACAGGCTCACATACAAAAATTGTAGTTAACTTTTGTATAAAGGCTTACAGCTTTGTTTTTTTTTTTTTTTTATAAAAAGAACTCTCCAGATAGATGATGTTAGTAACCCTGCACAGCCAGGGTGAGATTACATTTCACATTTTCACAGAAGAAGCTGAATACTGGGGAGCTTAAAAGCCCCAGAATCACAGAGGCCAGTGAGTAGCAGGCCTGGTGTCCCACCCAGGTTGGTGCTGAGTGGTGCTGCTTCCAGTACACAGCAGCAAATGTTTATGGAATTTATCTTGCGAAAGGATTGTATTTTGGGACTTCAAGTTGCTGACTCCAGTGCTGAAGAATCCATATCTGGAAATACCCTCAAAGAACAATATCAAACCATTCCCAGGAGGTTCAGAGTGAATCAGTTTAAAAGCCCTGACAAGTGAAATAGGTAGTATCTTTTGGAGCTAATTTTTCTACTAGTAGAAGGTTGCAATAATTATTGTATGCCTGTTCCCTAAAATAACATCTCTTTTATTTGTTATGAAGACTTGTGAGCCTTATGCAGGGTAATTAATCTCTGACATGTAAGTAAATTAAATTGCACACATACAGAGGCCGTGGGATATGTTGGGTTTATAGAATTTATTCCAACCCTTGTCCCCAGTTTGGTCATTCTTTTTTTTTTTTTTTTTTATTTGTTTGTTTTGAAAGGCAGAGTTGCAGAGAGAGAGAGAGGAAGAGAGAGAGAGAGAGAGGTCTTCCATCTGCTGGTTCACCCTCCAAATAGCCGCAATGGCTGGAGTTGTCTTGATCTGATTCCAAGAGCTAGGAGCTTCTTCCGGTTCTCCCACGCGGGTACAGGGACCCAAGGACTTGGGCTTCTTCTACTGGTTTCCCAGGCCATAGCAGAGAGCTGGATCAGAAGTGGAGCACCTGGGACTCCAACCAGCGCCCATTTGGGATGCCAGCACTGCAGGCGGCAGCTTTACTCACTGTGCCACAGTGCCGGCCCCCCAGTTTGGTCAGTCTTTACCAGCAAGTCCAATATGTCTAATTGATAAGTATGTTCAATGCATAGGATAAAAGCATTATTACAGATATATTATCATATCTAGTCTTTTTAAAATAGTATAATGTTCCCTCCTGTGATATTGGGTCTTATACTAATGAGGAGAAAACAAAATTTGAATTTTGTTTTATATCTGGAGATTAAAGAATAAAGACCTAAAAATCATGAATTCCCCTAGGCCCTTCTAATTACACACGAAACATTTGTAACTAATTGCTTTTAGTGAAAAGGAAAAAGAAAGAATTAAGAATAAAACTAAAATATATATTCATGGGTCATATTTTTAATTCTTCATGTGTTAAAAACTACATTTCCCTCTCTTCCTCTTTTTCCCATCATTTCTAACAAAAAGCAAATTCTAACCCAAACACTCCTCAGGACACGTGAAGAGGCATTTTAATTCCTCCACTTTGGCATGTTTGAAGTCACTTCTCCTTGGTAACTCATACATGCACCATGTTTCATGTGGTCAGGGAAAATTTTTTCCCAAAGGACCAGGCACTAAAGCCAGACCATTTAATGTTTCGATGGTAATACAATTTGGTACCATTGGATGAATAAACCAGTGTGGTTTGGATTAGAGTTGCATTTTTTCTCTGCTTCCATTTTGGTGTGGATAAGGCCATCACAATTAATTTTTCAAGCTTAGCCTTGCTTTGGCAAAAGGACCTCCACTATTCCGTCTCCCTCCTGAATAGTGGGAACATTAACAACAACAACAAAAAAAGGCCGGGACAAGGAATCATTGTGAAATTAAACCTTGCATTGACTTGCTCTGTGACTCAGACAAATCGTTTACCTCTTTGTCCTTCAATTTCTCCGTCACTGAAAAAATTGCTTTGCTTCCCTGGTGCACAGCAATTTTGAAAGATGAAACATGAGTTTTGAAAGGAAACATGCCTCATAATTTGGAGGTATTAGACTTCTGCTTTTGTAATACCAAAATGACCACCATTCATTAAATTCTTTGAATAGGATAATTTATTATTGCTATTGATGATATAATTATTATTGCCTTATTACTGTGTTATCATACATTTCAAGTTCTTAATAGCGTTTTTATTTGATATCTAATTTCACTCATAGTTTACATTATTGTACAAATGTATCTGGAGTGTCATATTCAATATTTGGAGATTTGGGGATCTGTTATGAGTTACTATAAAATACATGTTGAAGTCAAAGTCCTGCATATTTTGTCCTCTTTTCATTGAGTTAATTTAAGAATTTCATCTTAAAAATTAGATATTAGAAACTTAGAGTTCTGTGAACCTCTTAGCATGTCTGAAAGAGTGAATTGTTCCTTTTTAGTGAAACTCCAGAGCTACAGATGATCTTATCTGCAGCCCTTGAAGCCCTGAGAAATCTGTGGTCAAGTTATTTGAAAAAATTTCCTTTTGCTTAAGCAATGTATTTTCAATTACTTTAGAAAGCAACATCCCACTTCTTAAATCTGAAACGAGCCTTTTTTAAATGGATACATAGAAATCATGTAAATTTATGGTTTAGAGCCTGATGTTCTGATGTATATGTATGTTGGGGAATGGCTTACTCGGGACAATTTGCATATATAGTACTTGATATGATTTATTTCTCTTTTGTGGAGAGAACACTTAAAATCGACTCTCTGTGCAGTTTCTAAAGGTACATTATATTACTATTAATAATAGTCATCATGTTGCCCAATTGTTCTTCGGTGTGACAGGAATTTTGTATCCAGCATCATTTTTTATATTTACCTAAGAAGCTAAATTGTCTCCAGTGCTCATCCAGTTGGCTTTTAAGTACTGCTGTACTTAAAAGTAAGGCTTTTTGTACTGTTGTCCCAGTTCAGCCAGTGGATAAAATGGGGGGTTTTATTTCGAGAAATTACGGCCTAAGAACCTCGCCTGATGATGTGGAGCCCTAAGGACCCTCATGGATGAACGTCTTTCTTATTTCTTGACACAGGCTTCAAATTCACTCAAAGAGAAGCAGAAGTGCGAGACGCAGACACTGAGGCCGGGTGTGGCGCTGCCCGGGCAGTATGGGGCCAGCATGGCAGCTTCTTCCAGCCATCCTCACGCGGCCGCGTTGGAAGGAAAACCAAACAGCAGCCACCAAGCTCTCCTGCAGCATTTGTTACTGAAAGAACAAATGCGACAGCAAAAGCTTCTCGTGACTGGTAATTACCAATGGCCCCGCAGGCAGGTCCTCTTCGATCCAGTGGATAAGGGTGGATAGATAGCGCTTTGCAGGGCCCCCCCTGGCAACAGGAGCTGCGGGAAATTGCCCATGTGCATGCTGCCAGCTCCATGGAGTGGGCTGGAGCGGGGTGCTCACCCATGCCTACCAGGCTGCGCCACTGGCGAGTCATGTGGTCAGGGAGACCTGTCCAGTGCACCCTAGCCTTCTCTGGATGCTTGCCCGGTGTTGTCCTCACACCCCCATCTAATTTATCCCCTGCATCTGTTTTCAGTGCCTTGATGTTCTCCTCTTAAAATGATATACATGTAATTGCACATATTCACACACACACACACACACACAGAAATATGTATGTATTTTTTATTCAGGTGGCGTTGCCTTACACCCTCAGTCTCCCTTGGCAACAAAAGAGAGAATTTCACCTGGCATCAGAGGTTCCCACAAACTGCCCCGGCACAGACCGCTGAATCGAACCCAGTCGGCGCCTTTGCCACAGAGCACGCTGGCCCAGCTGGTCATTCAGCAACAGCACCAGCAGTTCCTGGAGAAGCAGAAGCAGTACCAGCAGCAGATCCACATGAACAAAGTAAGCCTCCCCACCGTGTCAGAGTGTCGTGAGCACAGGTTTGGCATTGGGGGTCCCTTCCCTGATAGGTCGCATCAGAAGGGAGCTTTGGTGTCAGTCATCCAGGCTCTCCTGTCTGGGCTCAAGGCCACCATTGCAGCATGCGCGTTTTCACCACCATTACATCCGTGGGCCATGTGTAGCAAAACTGAGATTATGGATTAGCAAGTTCTTTTAGGACTGAATACCTGTTTGATTGATTGTTTGATAACTCATTTTTGAAAGGCTGAAAACCAGAGAAACAATAAGAGAGCCTGCAAACACTTGTTCAGTTTCCAAACGCTGGAAATGTGCTGGACATTTGGGGCCAGAGTCAGGAGCTGGAAACCCAATTTTGGTCTCCCATGTGAATAGCAGGAACACAACTACTTGAGCTATTCCCAAGATCTGCATTGGTGGGAAACTGGATTTTGGACCAGAATTGGTATCAAACTCAGATACTCTGATGTAGGACATGGGGTGTCTTAACAGGTGCCCTTAATGGCTAGGCTAGACACCTACGCTCTGCATACCCATTTTAGTCCATAAGCTCACATAAGCAATTGTGTTTGGAGTTCCCTCCTTTAGGATTGTGGAAAGCCTCAAGGCAAAGTTAAATGTGATGCCTGGACATGTCACAGAGTTTGTACAGGTGATGCCAGGTAGGACAGAGTTAGCCCGCAGGGTATTTCTCAGCAGTGTGTATGTTATGGTCATTTCTTAATATGCCCCACTTCATTTGTATAAACGTTTGAAGCAATTTCTTGGAAACTCACGATCATTTCTTTCTGGCAGCCGTATTTCGGCTGACGTGCACAGGGAATGTCTGTATCACACCATGTTCTTAGGAGACCTCCTGCCGAGGCAACCACAGAGACACAGTGACTACCGCACAATGCTATCACCCAGACCAGCAAAGCATTTTCTGCGAATATGTAAGCAAGATGACATTCAGGAGCTGGATCTGGGCAGCTGGGCTCCTAGTCTGTGCTGTGATGGGCTCACACTTACTGGAATTTTCTTGTTCCTGGGAAATAGTGAGATCTGAGTAGTGAGATCCTTCCCCCTCTCCTTGGTACCACACTGCTCACCAGCATGTTTCAGAGGCCTGCTATTGAGAAACCACACCCTGTTTGCTGATGAATAGCTAACACTTGGCTTATATTAAATACTCTATTGCACTGTGATATTAAAAGCAAACTAAACAAAATAAACACACGCGGGCAACAGGCTAATCCTCTTTGGCATGTGCTGGCCTTATTGCAACTATTGTTGGAGTTCCTCTTCTTATCTTTGATCCCCGCCTTTACAAGAGCAGAGCAGTGAGGGGGTCGTGGACTGAAGACCATACCACTCAACAGAAATTCTTCCAGCCAGCCTTTTGGTGTTCCCTGAGGGTGGGTGTGTGCGAGTGTGGGCTTGCGGTGTTAGGCCCAGGGTTGCTGCTATCCCTTCCACCTTCTTTCACGAGGACTTTTAGGCTCTCTCTGATCCTTGCCCATGTAACTGCTGTAGCATTTCTCTTACTGTATCAGATTATCACCTATCAAATCAATCTCACTGGGAGAAAACCAAATTCTTTGTCTGCCCAATGGCGTAATACTTGTTGATGTGAGTGACTCTGCGTGTGTTTGCTGTATTATTATAGAATTGAAATTGTCCGTTCCTTTTTCTTTTGTAGTCTCTCGGGACAATTTAAAATTACTAGGAATTCTTATAATGTTACCCAGTGTCCAGTGTGAGAAATTTATATGGGAGCAGAGGTTAGGAATCCTACTTTTCACCTGATAATACTTTATCTGGAATTAGATTTATTTATAAAATTAGTGTTCAGTTGTAAATATGCTTTCCTGGTTGTCTTGGTTCTATTTTCCAGGAACATGTGGATATGTATATTTATTTGTGAATAAATTACGTAAATTGGTCCTTCAGAACTCACAGTCTACAAATTATTTTTACAAATACCCTTAAGAATATTTTCAGATACAGCTTTTCCGTGACCTGCCCTGGCCACTGTTTCAAACCCAGACGGCATCCTAATATCAGGATCTTTCCCTTTAGTATCACACTCCAGATTTTGACAGGCGGATGCTAAGCCCAGTCCTGTGGATAAAAATAAGATGAAAAGCAGGCATTTGCATTTTAGCAATGAGAAAAGCAAATCTTATCAGAAACCTTTTTCCCATGTGGAGCTGATTCCTTGGAATCTGTTAAGAATTCTTCCCAAAATTAGAAACAAACCTATACTTTTAGGTACATGTTTGTACAGTGGTTTGATTATTAAATCTTGTCTTAATTAGGCAAAATGAAGACCAGAAAACTTCAAAGTCCAAAGCTGATCTTTCTATGTTAACCCCTCTCAGCTTGGGTGTTTAGATTACTCACACAGGTCGCCACTTGGCTTTTCTCCAAGTATGTATTCCATATGTTTAATCAAATTGGCATATGCATGTTGGGTATTGTCCAGATTTTGAAAATATTTTACCTGCCCCCAATTGTCTACGAGAGCAGAGAAGAATCTTATTAAAGAAAAGACTGAACTTGTGGCCTGTTCTGCTCCGTTCACGTCAAGGAGTGAATCTGCTACTGTTCACCCTGTGTGTGAGGTGGTGAGGACTTTGACTTCCCACTGGATCAGGGCCATAACTTAGTTGCCAAAAGCTACCAAGTTTCTGTGTAATAATATATTTATGTGTACTCTATCTAACCACTTAGGATACCCATTAGTTAGAAATGACCACGGAAGCTCTATGTCATTTTCTCCTATTACCAGTCATGAACCTTTATTAAATCCATTGAGACGGCAGCCAAATAGTTGACATCATACAAACGTGGCCCTTACTCTTTAGACACTTACCCAGGAAGTAAAGGAACGTGTGAAGGTGGCAGGCATGCAAATAGCACATTTTAAAAGTCTTTTCCTTCCATTCCCCAACTTTTGAAGTGATTTTTTTAAGGAGTTTAAAGGAGGCAAAACATGAAGTGAAAACAGAAAAAAATAAGTAGATGTGGTAGGTTTATCTCTAAACCTGCATGAGATTAGCTTCCTGTTTGACATTTGAAATGATACGTCTGAATTGCTAATAAACTTTGGGAGAAATAGAAGTGAACCTATATTTATATTTTTAGAAGTACAGCTGATACAATGATTGATTTGTTAAATTTTGAATAATTTCTCATATTGTGCCCTTATTTTAATATATTTATAAAACCAGCAATTCCTGTCTACTATAAATATACAATATACTGTTAAACATATACAATATAAAATATATAATATAGTGTTAAACATACCAAGTAATTTATCTGCCTGCTACCTTATATTTAATGATATTTACATGAGAATTGTGTGTGTCCTAAGATTATTTGCCTCTTAAAATTATGGTGAAAGCCCTTGAGGGCGTAGCAGAAATATCCCTGGGTTGGATTTACACAATATTTTTATTGTTATATCTGCTGGTAAGTAATGGAGAAAGTTAGAAAAGGAAGTGCTAACCTAGAGAGGAAACCCTGTCAGAATGATTTATCTCTGCTCCTGAGTGTGAATATTCTATTTTGAGAAGTTTAATCACAAGAAAATCATGGGTTACACCATTTGTTTCTTTGTGGGTTTTTTTTTTTTTTTTTGAGAGATTTAAAAAATTCAGAAATGAACCATTAGTTTCTGTTGCCAATCTATGGTTTGTTTGTCCTATGCTGACTTGGGTTTTCATAGCCTTTTAAAAAAATCATGAGTTTCTTTATACCAGCATCCAAAGAAGGATGTTGCTTTTGCCAGTATATTTTGTTTTTCCTGTTGGAAGAAAAAAGAGTTTCTAAAATAGAATTTTTCCCCAAATACAAAATAGCAAACAAAAAATAATAGGGTATTGGTAATTTTCTCCTGAGCCCATTTCAAGTTTAAATATTAATGTCATTTTTTTCCTCATAAAATAAAAGTGTGATTGCTTAAAACTAAACACACCACAGTTACTTTGACATATTGATGGTTTTAAACCACTGCCTCAAATATAAACAGGCAAACCCCAGATCTGCGACTATTTTTTAATGATACAAAGCATTTTCAGCCATTTTTGTTGTAAGAAACTTTTATGTAGGTCTCTGCTTCCCATATCCGCTGGACAACATTATTCTTTGAATTATTTCTGTGGTGTAGTATTAATAGAGTAGCATGGATTTGCACCCAACAGTTTCTGTTTAATGAAAATTTCAATCTTTTCTAATATTTCTTCTACCAGATCCTTATGAGCACATATCATAAGAAAATTCCTTCTTTGTTTATGACTTATTTGACTGGTGCACTGATGTGTGCAACAAATCATTATTGAACCCTTACTTTGCACAGACACTGTTTTAGGAAGCAGGAAGACAATACTCAGTGTCCCCGTGGAGTTTATAGCATGGGCAGCAGAGGACTGAACCATTTGTGTCAGCAGCAGTGCAGTGCTGTTGAGTGTTTTGACAAAGGACACAAGGAAGGATGTTGATTTCTATGAAGAAAGAAGAGTTGAGACTTATTTGGTTACTTCTCTGTGTTATCATGCCCTCAATATATCTTTACATATTCTCTCTCTCTCCCTTTTTTTCTCTCTCTCTCCCTTTCCCTATACATCCTCCCTCTCTCTCTGCTTCTTTGTAATATGTTTTATGATAAATATCTTATGCATTCCTATGACTGGATGTCAGCCAACACTTCTTTAAAAACTCACATAAATCATGAGATGATATCTCATATATGTCACAGTTTGGTCTAGATATAAGTATTTATTATATATTTATTACTGTGAAACTTAGGCATTTTGACACGAGTGCTATTTCATCATAATAAAAAATATATCTAAGACAAGACGAGTAAATGGGAGGTCAAGCAGATGTCCTGTGTTTTTGGTAAAACAGGTAGTTGCTATGTCCAGGCCAGTGAGACCTGGATGTCATTACACTCAAACACTGGATCTGAGTAAAGAGGGAGCTTCCATTTGCTT